CTTGTATAAACTATTGATGCAGCAGTCACAAAGAGAGAGGAAGAAGCAGAAAGAAGAGCCTGAGAGTTGGGACAACATATATTAAAAGTTATTGTAATCATTCATATGTGTTTTAAAAACCTTGAGTTTGACGATGTGTTGTCTGATAACTCCTCCTGTGTTGTCCATTACGAATCTTTTACTTTCTGTTTATTACATTCACAAAATGGACATAGTCCTTGACTGAAATGAATGCCAAAACTCATGCTCACCTTCACTTGTGTATGTTGGCAATTTGGTTAGGAAAAATTAGTATACAATATTTCATCATTAAAATGATCCACGTGCAACGCATGTGGCCATCAACTAGTTTGCCTAAAAGAAAATCTTGTCGGTTTTTAAATCGAAAGACGAAAGCTATTTACCAATCAAAAAGGAAAAAAATAACAATAATACTATTTGAACATAATTTATTAACATAGTTTATCGACATAATTCATCAAGATTATTAAATTGATAGCAAATTGTAACAACTATTAGGCAGTTGTCAATCTAATTATTATGAATGTTTAGGATGGCAAATTAAGTCAACAAATTAGGTTAAAGTAACATTTCTCAAAAAGTAAAGACTTAGGGTCAGATCATAAGGTATTTATCTCTCATGAATACCCTTCTCTTGGCGTTAATGACCTATTTTTGATTGAATTATGAAGAGAATTANGTCAGACCATGAGGTATTTATCTCTTATGAATACTCTAGTCCTGGCGTGAATATCTTGTTTTTGATCGGATTAGGGAGAGAGTTAATCGAGATGTGCTCAAGCTAGTTTAGACACCGCCAACGGTTAAATCCAAAAAAAAATAAATTAAAACTTGATAAAACAAGGAAATCAGTAGCAAAAAACGAGAATTCAAGTTCAGAAACTCGGCAAAAATGCCTAGAAGATACAAAAATAGAGAATAAAAACTTAGCCAAGTTTGAAAATCAAACATTTGAACAAATTGGTTCCGTAGTCGTGGAATCGAAAACAGATTTTGATACCTTTGTTTTTGTTTTGATTTCTCTTTATTTCACAGTTGGGTAGATAAATAAGAAGTTTTTGTTCCATAGCTATATATGAGACGATTGTTCAAGTTGAAACTGGTAAGGATTAACCTTAATTCCCTAATTTGACCTTCCAATCCTATTCCACACCACACCCACAAGTATAGTAGGTTGATAATTCCAAAACATGTTTCTAATTATGCTTACGTGTAGAATCCTGAATGGGAAAGGAGTATCTCACTTAAACTCAAAAAGTTTCAACCCAAATGCCATATCATCCCTTGGGAAAGGAGTATTACATTAATTTGTTCAGTGGGGTTCACTCATCCCACATTAATTTGAGGGATGACATGTATTTGAATTTTAACTTTTTGATTTTATTTGAATTATGTAACATTTTTCAAACAAGAAATATGTAGATTTGTCTATCCAACACTTTTGGCCCTATTAACCTTTGAGGTAGTTTGGTTTATATATACATATATCTTTTTCATTTGCCCCTTGGCAAAGTCATGACTTCTCAAATAAAATGCATATGGATTTTTGGTAAAAATGTATCAGTTAGAAGTATAAATATTTAAATTGCATCATTTTTAATAGTTTAAATTTTTAGAATACATCGTTGTTTAACATAATAGTAAAGCAGAAAATCCTGTGTTCGAATCTTGCTGGCACCCAAATTATTAAAATAAAATTTATTATGATTATGACATATTGAATTTTGTTTGAACGAAATTACGAGTAAGGCTGATAGTTGAATGATCTTGAACGAGTTTGAGCTGAGTCTGAAAAACTTGTTTTCTTAAATGAATCTAAAAAATTGTTTAAATTTGTCTCATTCAAAGAACGAGCCGATCTTGAATGAGCCCAAAATGAGTCAAACCTAGGTAAGCCTGAATATTTATACACAAACGAGTCGAGTTTGTCGGGTTTGAGGCGAATCTACAAAATTATTCAAATTTGATTCATTTAAAACACGAGTCGAATTTGAACGAATCAAAAACAAACTAAACCCGAATCAAACTCAAATTGCTTAGTTTGATTAAGAGCACTAAATGCGAGCTTCTCATGCTCTTCAATCATGTTACTCCATTACACCTCACTTCTAACCATTAAGATGAGTGGATTTGATGAGTGAAAAAATCTAGTTAAAAAAATGAACCACTGGTTTAACTATTACCAATAACTAGTATAAATTATTAAGCACCAAATCACCTTTCTCGCGGTATCCATCATGAAAATGAATTTTTAGAATATTTCTTACGTCTTCTTTGATTTTTTCAAGAAAAAACAAAATGAATAGAAAATCCAAAAAAATAAAATCTTAGATACAAAAAATATATCTATAAATATGTTATAACTGATTTTTTTTTTTGCTATTGTATTTTGTAACTGATTAAATTAGGAAGAAAAAAGACAAATACTCCTTAAAAAAAACAAAATGAAACTAAAAAATAAAAAAAAGACACAACTTTAAAAAAGTTAAAAAAAATACATAAAAAATAATTATCATACAGTACATTATGCTCCATGTACCAATTTCCATTGTTGAATCTGAAAAACCTTCAAAAGGCAGATTGTATTATGTCTGCGAGACTAAAGGTTGTTGCTTTTTGGGCTTAGTGTATTCCGACCACTGCAACATGGATGCCTAGTGTAGTTGCTGCTTTTCCTCCAAATGAGTAGCTGTTTGATAGACAAATTTTTGAAGGTGCTGAGCGTTAAACTGTCTTAAGCACAAGGTTGATGATGCTTGAAGATACAATGAAGATGAAGGTGAAGGCAGGGCTATTTGTCTCTACGTTTTTTATGTTTATCAACCTGTTGGTGTTGGCTATCAAATGAGTTATATTGGCAATGTATGTATGCTATCTATGTAATCAATGAAGTCCAGATTTCATTAACTTGAAAGACAAAATAGCAAGTTATTTGCGGTGCCCTCCTTCCCCTTTTATCTCTCTCATCGTCTTTAGATCCTTCCATATCGCTGCATTTACAAAAACGTCTGCCATCACATAATTACTTGGATTGTTAGGTTCGAGCTCAAGCAACCATTTTGCAATGACCTCTGCAAGAGAAACATTGCAGCAAAGGTGGTACGAAGAGTAATAAACCCCACCAGCTTTTCAATAACTGTAGTGCTTTCCCGATTCTCCCAGCTCTACCTTATATATCCAATGAACAAGCATGGTGATCTCAAGTAGCATTCAACCAGAACGCAACTCCCATTCTACCAAAGAATGCAGTAGAACACACGTTTTGCAATCAATTTCATCCTCTGGCCACCCAGCTAAACCCCATACCCACTTTTTGCATCCTCGTAAAAGTTTTAAAAGCCTCAAAGACTATCTTTTCGAACAAACCCGGCAATCAATGAGTTCCAATAAACAAACATCTCTTTGTGGCATATTTTCAAACATCATAAATACATCTCCCCAATACCCAAACAAACGGATTGCCTTGAGTGCCAAAGAGCCTCATCGGCTTAGTCACAAATGGAGTAGAATGTATCCTCGGATTCTATCAGTCATGAGCTTGGATCCCAATATTTGGTCGTTGACAACAACGCACTTGCACCAAATTTCAGACCCAAGTGCCAATGAAATAAATAATGGACTTATAAATGTCAAACCCCACTATTAATCCAATATTAAAAAAAAATAAAAAAATACATCCTCTAAATTCGAATAGCATTGCTTAGGAGGTTGTGGTGAGCTTTATCTCTTGATTGGTGGAGTTGGAGGGAGAGTCTTTGGCCGTATTCTAAGGATTTGGAATGGAAGGGTTTTGAGGAGCTAACAACAGAAACCGAGTAAAGACTCTGACCTTATCCTATCAAGAATCACTTGCAATGTGTCAAATGTACCAACAAGAAACTAATAACTATTATCAACCACCAACGTTGATTTATCATTTCATGTTATTCACGGGCTTCATTTCCTTCTCTATGCATTTCTTTAACAAGAAACCTTATCCTAGAAAGGCTTCTTCCCGGATCCATAGTGATCAATGCTTAACAACGAGTCAATATAACTGCAGGTACTAAGTACACCAAAATCATATGGGTTCTTTCCCCAGTGATACTAGGTAGAGAGAGAGAGAGAAACGGGTAATTACACTCGTTGAATTGTTGTTAATGCCCACTATTCGTAAATTTCTCACCATGTCATAAATTCTCTTTATGATTACTGAAAGCCAATAATGACCAGATAATTACATACTAACAGGTTTAAAACCAAGATCTATAGAATTATTTACAGCATCCATTACCAATTGAGTCACTCTGCTAATCTCAGGCCATTTGCCATCTGGTTTGCAGCCCGAATGTTTAATGCTCTTCACCAGTTCCACAAAGTCCTGAACCATCATAGCCTCTTGTGGAAGCTCAGAATTTACTTATAACTTTCTTGGGTTTTACATTCCAACCAATGTGGAGATCCAAAAACTTGGCACCAGATGTGAACTCTAATGAAGCAGAAGTCTCTTTGAAAGGAATTATGAAGTCCTCCAGATGAAGCGATCCATTAGAGCCTGAGATTGCCAAGTCCATGGATTCGTTTGAAAGGAAAGAGTAGTAGAAGGTCGCAGTTGTTTGTTCTTTGTCCCAGTGTAATGAGGTGCTGCAGGATAGGATGTTATTGGTAAATTTCTCCCTCATCCACCAGGTTTACAGAGATCAATCGATATTGGCTTCAGGTCTTATGAAATTACTCTCCCTGTCTAGAAAACTATGAGACCACATCCTGAGCAGACACAGCTGCCATGACATACACTAAAAACTATGCTGCCTTACCAAACACCATTACCATATGTTATGCAGCACCCTTTTAATGAATCAGAATAAAAAGGGAAAAAGTCCTTAGATCAGTTAGGTGGAAAAACAGAACCATCCTACATCCTTAAACTACAACCCCAATCTCACAGCACTCCTCCACTATTGAGTTCCCCACATTGTCCCAGAATCAAATGCTTGTTACAATTTTAACAAAAAATATCCTCGCGCCGCTAGATTTTGAGACAAACAAAAAGACAATCGCATAGTTGGAGGAGCTAGTAGAGTAACACAACTTTCCATCAAATTTCTATCAAACTTCTATAACAGAGAAAACAAGGAACTAGTAATCATATTGAAACATCTAAACTATTGATTTGACAATACTTCCCCCACAATGAACAGAAAAAAAAAATATACCACGTCAATTTACTCGTTCATGCTATCATTCTGAGCTTCCTCCTCACTTAGATCAAGATCTGCAAGCAACTCCTCTAAAGGTATCGAAGGAACATCCTCCTCGTCAGTCATGGAGGCCATTTCTGATGGTTGGTATTCTTTATTCTGGTACAAGGATATATTGAACCTCATGTCAGGGTTCTCCTCCAAGTCTCTCAAGAACTGTTCGTATTCTGAGCTCCTCTTCTCTTCATCAGTAGCTTTAGCAGAGTCCTCGACTTCCATGTTAAGAGATTTAAGCTTCCATGCACGCGGTTTCCCCCGCTTCTTCTGGCGCTTCTCTTCATAGCTCTTCTTTATTAGAATCACATCTGGAATAACAAGACCTTTGTACTTGTCCAATTCAATATCATTGCTGTTAGCCCTATATAAGTCATAACCAATAGCATAATCCCCAGGATTTAAAATATGACCTAAATGTGTTCTTACGGTAAACAGTGTATCATTCTTCCCAAAATCTGCTACACGAGCTACTTGGGCATCGGCTAAAACATACTTTGAACCACCAACATTTATTTCAGAAGAAACAGGCTCCACATCTAACACGATATATTCCATAATCTGCCTACTCGAAAGCAGGGACTTAAAAGCTGTCCTCCAATATTGGTCAGCATCCATGAAACAGTGTCTCAGAGTAAAAATGTCCAGCAAAGCAATGGTGTTACTCACCTTCGTGCAGATCACAAGTGGACCAAGATTTCCCAAACTAACTGCAACCTTTGGAGGTAGACAAATCAGATCCTCACGACAAATTGGGCAGATTTCAACAGAAAAGGTGTACTTATAATTGTAATTATTGCTCTTGGTATCATGCGATACAAGTTGTTTGTCATGACGACTCTTAATTGGAGCAACTTTACCCAGGAACTCTACAAACTTCACAGCATGACTCCGATTAGCAAAAAAGAAATCAACTCCCTGATCCATCTGCTTGATTCTTATGGCACGGACAGCGGCATCATGCTTAAGAATAAGTTGTTCTAAATAGAAGAAAGTTCGCCGGTGAGAAACGTGCTGACGTAGTTGCACTGCAGCCACCCATTGGTCAGGGTTGGCTTGAACCCTAGTACAAGATTCACACATTTGGTCTTGCACTACATACTCAACAGTATAAGCTTGTTCTAGTATTGCCCCATTAAGCACCTCCTTTTGAACTCTCAGCCTAACTTTGATCCTCTTTGAGTGAGGTTCGGTCCATATAAATTCCGCATGTACTAAATGGATTTTATTCAAATTCTTCAATCTCTTCACACAAAATGTCAACAGCTCCTTTGATTCTAGTTTGGCTTTGATCCAAGTTCTTGGTGGCTGCAAATAGGTATCACATTCGGGGCAGTGAATGATGATAACATGCTTCTGCAAACCTTCTGTGATATCAATTTCAGAACGCAGACATTTCACACACATATTGGCAGCATTTGGTGCCATCGGAACACCACATTTGCAGCACAAAACACTGCCAATGGTTTGCTGAACCGTGAACATACCTGCTTCTTGAGCCATTGCTGTTTACCTGTTCACCGAAAAAAAGAATAAGACCATCTAAAACAAATCATAATATTTGTAAAAAAATAAAAAAAAAAAAATTGGTAAAGGCTAACTTTTTAACTGAAAATGAGCAAAAATGACTTTCTCGACCCAAGAGCAGTTCTACCCTTGTCACTCAATATCTGAAGTGTCAATTTGTAAAAGTAAAAGAAAGAACAATAAAGGACTCGTACATCTTCAGCAAAACTAACAAAATCTCAGCGATTGGGACTTTGGCATTCACATTATTCAAGGACAGGACAAAATTGTCAGGGTCTCACACATATGTATACACAAACAGAAAACATACAGTTCCATTTTCCTTTTCATTCAACAACAAGGAGCTCCACATCAGACCGTGTCAAGGTGGGCTTCCTCGGAAACCCCAAGTTCAGATAATGGACCAAAGTCCTAGTTTGCACTGCATATGGCATACAAAGGGAGATAAAAAAGAGGCTTCTCCCTCACATTCTGTCCATTTTCTAACGTTTTCACCAAATATCAATATATATCCCCACCTGATAATATTACAAGATTCCAAGAAAAAATTGACCACACAAGAAATCATCAAACAGTTTTACAACGGATAAAGATAAGGACTTCACCTTCGGACATATACACCTTCATTTATGTTACATATAAGAATATAAACAACACAAAAACAATTGACCGTCAAATACTTCAATTCAACAATTTTGAAAATGATTATTTTATTCACTAGAAACCGCCAATTGAAATTCTTAAATCAATTTTACATACAAAAGTGAACACAAAACACATATATGCTGTTACGATCCCACGTCGGTTAAAAATAAGACTAAATATGTGTATATAAACTGCTGGGCACCGCTCCTTGCAAGATCCCACACCATAAATCAGAAAACTACTTCTGATCGGATTCAAAACCATAGAACTGAGCAAGTGGAAAAAAAAAAAGCACATGAAAACGAAGACTGATTAGTCTACCTTGAAGGAGAGACCTTCAACGACGAAGACTAANGGAAAACTACTTCTGATCGGATTCATAACCATAGAACTGAGCAAGTGGAAAAAAAAAAGCACACGAAAACGAAGACTGATTAGTCTACCTTGATGGAGAGACCTTCAACGACGAAAACGAAGACTGGAGCTGCTGCTTTTGGCGTTATTGGGCTGTGACATGAGGGAGAGAGAGAGCGCGGGGGGGGGGAGCAGGGGGTCGACAAAGAGGCAAAAGGTTAGGGTTTGGGAGATCTTTGATATTTATAAGGGTATGTCATTGCTAGAAGTGATCTTATATCATTACTGATGGCTGTCATTTTCTTTAGTCACTTTGATTTCACTAGGACTCCAACTCTATAATTGGAGGTTTTCCAGTTTCAGTTCTAATTGGAGGCCCCCCAATACGTTGCATTGCTTCATGAAACTTGTATATGACCTACTTTCGGCTGAGGACTGTGAAGGAAATATTGAGAACACATAAGGATCCATTCTTGTCGAATCGAGTGCAAAAGTCTACATTTAGCAAGCATACCCCAACCAATACATCAATGGAGGTTGCAACTAAAAGCCAGCATTACAAAGAAGAGGCAGCTTTACAACACAAAGCAAGATCTAGATCAAGCTCGAGGGGCTGGAAGGTGCCAACTGTGAAAAACTCTAGCATTTTGAGAGCTGCCCCTAATTGTTATAATTAGTAATCTATTGCGAACTACATTACTAATTGTGTAGAACAATGAGTTTGTATCTCTAGATTCGTTTCTTAATATTCTATAATTCCTCTCCCAAAAAAAAAAAAAAAAAAAGAAAGCTGAATGATTGATTATGAGCCTCTGGGTTTGATGCGATGTTGTAAATTCCCTTTGTTACTGGAAAAATACTGGATCTGTCATGCCATGACGAATGATTATGAAGTTGGTGTGCACAATAGCTATAAGAGGAGACTGAGCAAGTATAGTGAATAGTCTTAAGGGAAACACGACCCTATTCTACGCCTACCAGTTATGCACTGTGAATGAGATCTTTTTACATCAGGTCCGAAAGAATAAATTCTCATTCTACATGTATTCCTCACTTTACAATCAGAATCAACAATTTCAATTTCAAGACACAAGCTAAATTAACAAAGGCACTAGAGTGGGAAATTGCAACTTCAAAACTACGCCATCCAAATCTAAAAAATAAATAAAGATGAGCATTGGAATTTACCTCAGGGTGGTCTGGTCGCTGGTGAGGAAGAAGAGTTGTCGGTGAAGTTTCGCTGGGCAAAGGCAGTCGCCGAAAGAGAGATAGAGGAAGAGGTGGGCGGCTGAGTGAGGAAGAAGAGCCGAGTAAATTAGGGCAGAGCGTGTATATATATATATATATATATATATATATATATATATATACTCTAAAAATTGTACGTGCATAACACTTAGATCCCTCTATCAATGTCAATTATTATATCCGTCAATAAATTATATTCAGAACCTTTTAAATTTATAAGCATATAATATTTTGACTTTTAATATTTAAAATATTATATTTAGATAAAAAAATACTACAATTAAAGATAGAATATCAAATATTTTTAAATTTTATAATCAAAATTAATATTTAATTATGAGATTTATTAAAATAAAATTAAAAATAAAACTTTAATTTTCTCTTAAAAAATCATAATTAATATATAATTATACTATCTATTGAAATTTAATTTAATTGTTTAAATGATTAAATTAAACTATCAAATTATCCCAATTAAGGTAGAAGATATCGTGTTTATTATAGTTTAACCCCTTATTTGATTTTATAATTTTATTTTAATACAGATAGTATAATTGCATTTTAATTATGATTTTTAAGAAAAAAAAATAGATTTTTTTTTATTTTATTTTAATAAATGACATAATATAACATGAATTTTGATTGTAAAATTCATATTCTATTATGAATGACTTAGACTCTTTATTTGATTTTTTAGTTTTATTTCAATCGATAGTATAATTGTATATTAATTATAATTTTTTCTGAAAAAATAAAATTTTTATTTTTGATTTTATTTCAATAAATGATATAATAAAATATTTGCTTGTAAATTTTATAATATTTGATATTCTATATTTGATTAGAGTATTTTTAGTGTAAGTACAATATTTTAAACTTGAAAAGTCTAAATATTATACGTTTATAAACTTCGAGGGGTCTGAGTATAATTTACAAATAAATATACACTTATAAAATTTAAAGGGTCTAAGTATAATTTACTAATAGATATACTAATGGACATTAACGGACATGGACGACAGGATCTAAATGTTATTCGCGTACAAAATTTAGGAAATTTTTGTACAATATTTTAAATATCATGGGAACTAAATGATTCAATGGCAAATTTTAGGAGGTTTCAATATAATTCACTCATAAAGTTCTTTGATCATATTAATTTGTTAATTTAATTAGACAGACCCTTCACGTTTGATATATTACATTAACACCCCATAATAATAATAGCTTCCGGTAGAAATCAACGAAAGTGACAAAATGACTAAATTCTTCTCACAAATAACCTAAACAAAACAAACTTGGATAACTTAACCCAACTACCAAACAACTCCAACCACGCCTCAAACATCTTTTTCATAAAATACAGTTGTCTTCTCTTTCAGAAATTACAGAGCCACCTCCACTAGGCAATCCCAGGCCACCCCTGTCACCACAAAAGGTTCTGGAATCAACATATCACAAAGAATAGTTGCACTTTCTTGTGAAGTCGAAGTGCTACTTTGCGTCTCTTAAGTTCTTGTTCTGTGTTCTTGAGATTTTTTTGATTTTGTGTTCTTGATTCTGATGGAGATTATTTTATTGGTTTGATTTAGTTGTTTTTAAGGGCCTACCTACACACACTCTCTCTATAAATATGTAGGAATTGTGTAGGCAAGGAGAAACAAACCACCTTGGTCCCTACTCACCCATCTTTCACCATCCCTCCCCCATCTCTGTCTCTAATATATATAGGAACTGTGGAGCGAATGAGGAATATTGTTGATGGTTTCTACGTCACCACTATGAACTGTCCTCTACCCCTCTCATCCCTTTTTATTGACCTAATAATTAATTTTATAAAATTGATTGTGTTCGAAATAAGACCCAACTCCACCGCCCCAAACATCTCACACAAAGACTAGTACACCATAAACCCAACAAAGCCATGAGTGAGTCATGGTGGAGCGCATGTGTTGTTGTTTGGATGGTGGAACATGTGCGACATGAATGCATTGGACCACGAGTGAGTGGTGGTGGAGACTAGTGTACCCTAGTTTGGATGTGTGAAGCGTGTGCTTGCATAGAAGAGAGAGATTGAGAGAGATGACTTGCCTTCTCTACGCAAGGGTTAATGGTTTTGGTGCGTTGTGAAGGGAATGAATTTTTTTTTAATTGATGAGTTGGGAATTGAGTGGGTTCGGGGTGGCCAATGGGAGCATGTTAGGTTTCAGTATGATGGTGGTGGTTTGTAAATTGTACCAAGAGATTAAATGAGAATTTAAAAACTATTATGTGTAAAAAGATTTTATTTTAAATTATTCATGGATAACTTAGTAATTTTAGATTAAAAATATGCTAATGTTATTAATTTTTAAGAACATTTCTAACAACAAGAATGCATGGTGTTACAACTGTACATACTTTCAAGGGCCGGGAGAGGCTACGGTACCGAATGGTCAAACAGCGGTACCGTACCAAAAAAAAGGTGTGATCATAAATTTTTTGACATTTAATATTACTTAAATGTGTGGTTGTAAATTTTTTGTCATTAAATATTATTCTTTAAAGGTGATAACTTTGCCTATAAATGTAATAACATTGTCTTAAAGAGTTGTAACTCACCTCAAATACTTGTAACCTCAGTTGCCCTTTTTTGTGTAGTATTTTTACCTTTACTACTTGTAACATAACTTTAAATACTTGTAACCCTACCTTAAATGTAGTAATTTTACTATAAATAGTTATAACATCACTTTCAGAGA